CTTTACATAATCATTTCTGACCTGAGTTTCAAAAGATTTCAAATTGTGTTATCCATTTTAAGTCTCTGGCCAGAGCTGATTAAGTGATGATTAGAGAATTCGATTCTCTAAGTCATGCACGTAACGATTACAACACTTAGAACGATCGCACCGTTATTGAACATATAAAGAGGTCTCGACGAACCAATGCCTCTAGTTCAATCGGGACATATGTATCGAAGGGACCGTACTGTACGTTAACTATATATGAAGGTTCTTGCAGGCACTTCATTTGTATCTAGGGAATCATGACGCGTAGTTGCTAGACGCCAATCTTGATTCGTTGGGTGACTAAGGTGAAACGAGCTTCATCTTAATCGTAACTCTAAGGGACGAGTTTTGACCACAAAGAGTTGTGGGCCCACGGCTAGCTTACACCTGAACCATCGAGGGTCACACTGCTTGTGCACATGAGATCTTTGAATAAACGGTCAGAGATAAAATATTTTATCTTTGCATGATTGGAAGTCAATATGATTGGGTCCAACATTCGTAATTTTGAATTATGAATGAGAATAAGAAAAGGAAAAGAATAGGCAAACGTTTTAGTGAACTTTCTAAATCGGGAAGTTTCCAAATTTAGAAAGTGCACTGAATTAGGGTTTCCACTTTTGGAAGTTGGAAATTGAGAGTTGGCACTCGTAATGACGAGGACATTATAATGATTCCGAAAATTTAATCGTTACAATTTTCCGATCATTGAATTGAGAGAGACGAGCAAGTAAAAGAACTAACGAACTTAAGCTGTTGGGCTCGGTCCAACTTAAGCCCGTTAGGGTTTTATGCAAGACACTATAAATACATGATTTATAGGTCTTGCACAAACACACAAGACCTAACCCTAACCCTAGCCGTCCTTCTCTCTCTCGGCCACTCTCTCCCGCGGCCACCACCACCGCCGTCGCCGCCGCCGTCTTGCCGGAATCGGCCATCCGTTGGCCGATCCCCTTCGGTATTCCTTTCCTTCTTTCTTTTCTTCTCTTATTTCTAACTATTACGTGTCTACACTACTAGAAAATTCCAATTTAGCAACGACCATTAGCGACAGATAATAGATCCGTCTCTACTATGTATGTTTAGCAACATAATTAGCGATGGAACAAATAATCGTAGCTTTAAATGTAAACCATCGGCGATAGTGACGTCAATTAGCGATAGATGAAAACTCCGTGACTAATTTAAACATTCAGCTACAGATTTTGCAACGGACAAGAGATCTGTTGCTAATAGAAATATTTAGCGTTCCAACCCCATTGATAATTATTATGATTTATTTAAGTAATGAATTTTATTATTTTTTGGTTTTCAATTTACAATTTGCTGAAATTGGTTTTTTTCCCCACTTTCTCACTTTCCTTACTTCCCTTCACCCCCTCCCCTGCGCCATCGTTCCTTTCATCGAAACTTGACCACCCATCCTCCTGCCTTCATTCTCTGTCTATTGTCGTCTCCGGCCATTGGGAAAAGTAAAAAATGCAAAGGTCCCAAAAATTCCCCATCTTTGCTAGTTTTTCAATCCCCCACTAGTCACCGTTGCGGCGACGCCACTCATGTCGTCTTCAACTAGATCTGCCCGTTCACATAAGAAATTGGCACTACAACGGAATCAGGTAAAATCGTTGTTATTTCATTATTTATGAATTGGTCTGTGTGTGTTGTTTAATATTTTATTTGATAAAAACCCTAATATTGGAATGGGTATTTTGGTGTTGTTAACAGTCCCGCATTTTCATTCACATTATGATAAAATATTATATTTTATTGTTATTTTTATGTTTTAGGATTGTTTATGTCCTATTGGTGATAATGATTTTGAAGTTTTGGAGAATGAATATTCATATCGAGACAATAAAGTATGAGACTTGGCTTTCAATTTTAGTTTTGGATTGCATTTCAGATTAAATAATATGTCCTAATTTCAGTTTTGGGTTGGTTTGGAGAATGAATATTATGTTCTACTTCTAGTTTTGGATAGAGAGTGACTATGTTCAAGGTAAGGACTATGTTCTTGTTAATTTGTTCATTCCTATACTGCAAATATGCCGCAAAATATTGTGACCTTAAACCCGTAGCATGTTATAATTCACCCTTATATTTCATATTTCAGTCTACAACTTTATTTTATCATGTGTTTCAGCAGTAGCAAACACATTTGTTAGTTGGTTGCATATATTATTTTTTCACTACTGACCGAATTACCTACTTTTAGAATTCAAGAGCTCAGGTAACTTACATATGCCAAATGTATGGGACACTTAGAAGATGCAAGTCTTTGTGGCTGAAGTAGAAAGCTACTCGGGTAAATTATTTCTAACATATATCTAGTCATAATATTAATTATATGCTCATCTCAAATAAAATCGATAAAACTGTATTGAATACTATAATTTTTATATGTATTATATCAGTTTATTCTTGGTACATAGAAATTAGTAATCACTAGTTCATTTTTCGTAATGATGTCTTTAGTATTCTGCAAAATTATTGAAGAAGGTGGATGACCAATATAGAGAACTGATGCAGGTTCACATTTCTGAATGGATGAATACAATAGTATAAGAGATGTAAAGAGGTGCATTAAAATAATTATTTCAATTGTATAACAATATCAGATTTGTAAAATATCAGGCATTTACATCTTTAATTTATCATGTGGTATTTTTTCTTGATTAATTATTATCTTTGCTTTCTCACTATTTTTGAGAAAAAATGCCTAGGCAGTGGCAATAGCATGCATCCTTTGCAGTTGTTTATGTAAATTGTTATTGTTGATTGTTAATGTAATTTTACTTAACATTCTATGTGTTGTGTACAAGACTTGGATTGCTTGTCTGATGTTGTCTTATGCTGCTGATGATCGACGAAATGGTTGGACTATCATATTTTGATGGATCAACTAAATTGCAACTTCCATCCTGGTAAACTTTTCTCCCACTTTGATCATCGAGTTAGTTCATGCATTAATTTCATTTAGTTTGCTCCCAAAGTGAATGCATCTATATTCTTATGTATTATCTTTCATATCTAGTAATTAAACTGATTTGCATAAGTTTGTGAGCACAAATGACATTTTTTTTAGCTTTTAGATATAATATTCATCTTTGCCAAGTCATTCTTTGATAAGATTTGTATATTGTGCGAATGTATACTTATTGGTTCAGTTTTTATTATATCAGGCTATAAATAAGACACAAGTTGATGGTGAGGAAACGAAGATGCAAGAATTGTAGAGGAAAAGAAAGGTGGTGTTAATGGCCATAGAGACTACATTGTTCTTATAGGTTAAAATTCAAATTCCTATTTTGACAGCTTGATTCTTTTCGATCTAGAATCTTCAATGAAAATTCAAGATATTGTTTGTTGAATTTGTGTATGTGCAAATATTTATATTAGTTTTATTGGTGTTTATATAAATGAAATTAATGTATTTAAATATATATTTTTTTTGTTAAATTAATAGATTTTTGTAACGGATTTAGTGAAGGATGTATCCCTCTCCAATTAAGATTTTAGCTTTAATTAGTGACGGATGAATAAATTTAGCGACGAAATATCTCGTGTTTTTTGGTCAGATTTTGTAACGTCTTTGTGTGTCATTAGTGACGGATCATTCCATTGCTAACATATAGCGACGGATGATTACATGGTCGTAGCTAAATTTTAGCGACGCGTCATTTAGCGATCTCCATAGCTACGAACCATTTTCGTCGCTAAATCGTTATTATCGACGGATTTTGGCCATTTAGCGACAGATTGTTCCGTCAGTAAATGACAGTTTTCTAGTAGTGCTAGTGCCACATGTTTAGTAGATCGAAGTATATACGAGGTGAAATCCGAGAGGAGGAAGATCGAAGATCGAAGAATCGAGGAGCAGCACACGAGCCGAAGCCGCACGCATCCCCACGCGTCGCCCGAAGACTGCGTGAGTCACACGCGCCGCCGTGGCCCGTCTTGCCGCTGCTGCCGCTCCACCACTGCTGCCCTGGATTGTACGGATTGGTTTCCGTAGCAATCTCGTCTTGCTTAGTGCTCCTACCTCACGCTTCAAGAGGTAAACTCACGAATTCATTGTTCTTGATTCGTTTACGTCTAAATAAAATGTTCATGTTCGTCCTTGTATGATTTTATGTGATTACATGAAATCGTTTTATATGTTGCGAGCATGTTATTTGATTTAAACGTGAGCATGCTAATTGATTTAAATTCGGTTGAATAATTAAGCATGTATGTTTTTTTTTTAATTTCGCTGGAAGCGCAAAGGTACACAATTAATTGTTTTCAATTATCGGGCACGTGTTTATATGTTTTAAATTGTTTAAATCACATAAAATTTTTGTTTTCCGCTGCGTACACGTGTCCAATTCCCAACAAGAGAGACATGGTCATGGTCCAGTTAATCTGATCACGGTTCACTTTTTCAGGAACTGAAACCGACCTATAAAACACATGGTTCAACGGTCCGCGCCGGCCCGTGGTTCACTCCGGTTCTGGGCCAATCCGGTCCTGTTCCGCGCTGGCCTGAAAATTTATATATATTTCTTTATTATTTATTTTTAGAATATGGGCAAAATATAATAATATATTTTGAAGATTTAATGGTGAAATATAATTTAACAAGAGTTAAAATAGTAAATATTTTTGAAATAAAAAGTTTTGAAAGATAGTAATTATTTTAATAAATAAATTAAAGGAATTATATTTAAATGGGAAAAAATAAAATAAATGAAATATTTAAATTCTTAATGTTCATCCTATATTTTTACTTGAAGTGTTTAAATTTCTTATGTTCAAATATTTTAAAACCTTAATGCATTTTTTTATTAAAAAAAGTTAAATTACTTTTTTTTCAATTTTTTTTTTAAGTATTTAAATATTTAGTATTCAAATAATGTTTTTATTTGAATTTTGAAGTATTTAACCATTTAATTTTCAAATATTTTAAATTTTTAAATACTTGATGTATCTCTTTTAATTTTATGTATGTGAAAAGAAAAGTTAAAAGACTTAATTTTTTGGATAATAAGAGTGAAATTAATTCAAATATTTTAAATTTTGAAATACTTGATGAACAAATAAATTAAAAGAATTACTTTTACATATGAATAAAAAGGAAATAAATGAAAGGACTTGATCCGGGTGAACCGCGTGGCTGAACCGACGGTTCACGGTTCAACATATTCTAGAACCGAAACCGTTTCGATTGAAACGGGACCGTTCCGACTGAAACGGGACCGTTCCGACTGAAACGGGCCGGTACATGATTCCGATACCGGGAACTTGTCCATGGCCATGGAGAGAGAGAGAGAGAGAGAGAGAGAGAGAGAGAGAGAGAGAGAGAGATGTGATATGTGGAAGAGAGAGGAGAGATGAGAGAGGAAGATAGAGAAAATAAACGTGAGAGAGGAGATAAAGAGAGTGATTTGTGGGATTTATTTTCTTTTTACTAAGGTAAATAGACACTAGGGGAACTTAAGTCTATGTATAATTAATTTGATTTATTTTATAATATTTTTTGGGTGATAGGACATAAGCCTAAATTGATTTAATAAATAGAACCCTTAGCCCTATAACTTCCAGAAATAGGACATTTAGTCAATTTCCCCTAATTTAGTATACTCATTGTTGTTTTTGTTGCCTTATTTTTAGGGAATTATTAACGAAAACTTCTTTTGTATTATTAGTCATACCTCTTCACTTGTTATTTAATATCAATGTTTAACAAAATTTTACACGTTAATTATTTTACCCCTGATTTATAATTTACTTATATTATTTCAGATTTATTATTTCTCAAATTGCCAAACCCTATCACGTTCCAATTGATATTTTCTCTCCGTCTTTCTCTTTGCTCTCTACGCCGCCATCTCTCCCCTTCTATCTCTGCCCCATCACCGCCATCTCCCCCTTCCACCTTAGCCCTAATGCCGCCATCTTTTCCCTACCCACTGTTGGGCGAAAACCTACACGCAAGTGCACGTATCGTACAAGTAATATAGTGGACAAAAAGTCCGGATATCGAACCCACAGGGAATATTTAATTATCTAATCCTAGACGCTAAATTCTACCAATTATTATCAAGCCCACCCTACACAGTCGACTTTAGAGAGAATTAACTAGATTAAATTAAAAAGCAAATTAAAACGACAAAGCAAGAAAGCAAATTAAACACGAAGATTTATCAGAGTAAACAAGCCTAGGATTTTATTCTTCCCCCTATGTGATTATTACTCCCCCAATTCCTTCAATTATGCAAGCAATTAACCCGGATTATTAACCTGAGATGCTAAAATAATCATAACCCGCTTCCGCGTGTATTACGATTCTAATACTCTAGATTCAATTACTATATTCCTATGCAATTAATTCTAGAACACAGCATTAAGCACAAATCTCAATAATGGCTACCTAAGAGATTAACTATATTCCTATGTTAATACCACAAAGGCTCTTCTACCACAGTTCTAATTATTAACCCGATCTTCCGATTCATGCGATTAACAATAACATAAAAGCACATAAGTTGATCAAGTTCATGCACTTAATAAAACAAGTAGAAGAAATAATCCGGAATTAAAACTTGCATAAAATCATAGAATTGGGTTCATAAATCCCACATAGGGTTCCAAATAAAATCCTAGAAATAAAAGACTTAGCTACTCGTAATTCTTATGATAAAGAAAATAAAATAAATAAATAGGAAAAACTATGCTTGAATCTTCGTTGATCTTCGTCTTCGTTATTGGTTTGTTGCTCTTGAAATTGCGTAAAAAAAAATCCCTAATTGTGTGCTTGGAATGGTCTTATATAGGGTGAAGAACTTGGGGAAGAAGGCAGTTTCCTTGTGCGATTAAAATCCCTTTACTGCGCAACTTCGGGTTATGGGACGGGGGTCCCATAATTTGCACTAAAACTGGGACGGGGGTCCGAGCCTTGTTTCTTCAGAATTTTGATATTTTCACTTTTGACCCATATTTTCGCCAAAATTGCAGTTTTGACCCCATACTTTTCCAATTCTTCAATTTGTACCTAAAATACAATAAATCAACTTTTTAAGCACCAATTATCATTAAAACACACCAAAAGCTCAAATAAAAAGATACAATAAAGTGTAAAAATACACACTTAACACACCCCCAAACTTGAACTTTTGCTTGTCCTCAAGTAAAATCTACCAATAAGCAAATAACTCAACGATAACATCTCATCACATAGATCAATGATCAACTTCACGTTTTCAGAACTTGTAACTATAATGACAATTCTTAGGCATTCGCAAGCTCAAAATTCAACAACACTTAGTCACTCACCATTACCAAAAACCACAATTCATACAATTGCTTCAAGCATCCAATATTTGCAAATTAAAGATAGAAAGAATTTATACTTACATGCATATGCTTGACTCCAAATACTCACCAAATTATTCTACTCTACTAATATCGAACATTAAGCTAATGGGATCATTGGGGCTTTGTGGCTTTCAATTGTTAGGCTCTTTGGTTCGAGGTAGGAAATATGGGTATATGTAGCTATTATTCTTGAATTGAGGTGATTACGCCAAAATTTGAAAGATAGGCGTTTGAAACAATGAATTCACCTTTAAGGACTTTAATAAACTCGATTCTTAAGAGTTCAAAAGTCTCCACTTTTGCTCTTAAGACAATGGATCGAGCCTTCAAAACAATTCAACAACTAGTCCTTATTTCTCCCTTCTAGTCTCTTCTTCTTCTTCTTCTTCTTTTTCTCTCTTTTTTTTTTTTTTTTTTTTTTCTTTCTTTTTTTTTTCGAAGAAGAAGAAGGACCTTATAAAAAATTTCAACCGAACTCCAAAGGGTAATTTTCAAGAATCTCCACCTATTCTGCCTTACGCATTGGCTAAAAGAAAGAAGACCTTTTCTCCGAGGCTCAAATCAAGGTTCTAAGGAATATTTCGATAAAAAGGTCGGCTTGAAAGGCTCAAACGGTTCAAAGAAGGCCCAAATCATATCCCAAATCACTCACTACTCAATACTTCGTATCATAAATTTCCTAAGGTGAGTCTTAAAACCGAACATAGCATGATTTAGCACAAATTAATTCCAAATTTAAAATACAAAACATTCAACAAAAGCAATGCACCAAATGTGATTCCTAGCAATAATTCGCTTCTAAGTCCCGTTGAATCGAAAGCTAAACAAACATCAAATCTTTATCACATAAAACAAGCAATTTCATCATCAAACATTGATCATCTCTCATCATCATAAATCATAGATGCATTCGACTCAAGCAATTTTTTTTTTTTTTTTTTTTTTTTTTTTTTTTTTTATTCAGGAAAAACGAGAAAAACAATAAAAACGATAAAACAACCTAATGCATGCAAACTAAAACAAATAAGCACAAAAATAACATGTTTTTCACCCCCAAACTTAAAATTTTCGTTGCCCTCAACGAAATTAGCACAAAGTTTAAGGATAGAAAACACCTGATTTATTCGGAGTCGATGTGATAGGGGTGCTCCTCCCTAGCTCTCTCATGCTCCTCATCATCGGAAAGCTCTCTCGCTCCATCTTCATTCGGAATCGTTGATCGGCACGGGAGCTTGAGGCTTCGGGGTCGTCTCGGGCTTGAGGAGCGGCTTCTTTTGTTGGACAAGAAAGTTAGGAGAGAGGTTGGAATAGATTCGGTGAGAATTGGTTGACAATCGAACTCAAAATTTGGTTGGAGCAAATTATCGAACACCTTGTGGGCGTGCCTTGAAAGAGTAGATTTTGAAGATTTTGGTTCGATTCTCTTGCCTCCTTTGTGTGTGGGAGTTTGAGAGAAGGAAATAGAAGGGTTTAGGAAATAATGGGCGAGAAAATCTGATTTTTAAACATTTAAAACGCCCCAAATAGGTTCGGACGGCCGTCCCGTTTTTTGTGCTAAATTTTGGACGGCCGTCCGAAATTTTTTCTCCTTACTGGTTGTGGGACGGGGGTCCCACATTTACACCTATTTGTGGGACGGCCGTCCCACAGGCAGTGGTGCAAATTTTTTTTTTTTTTTTTTTTTTTTTTTTTTTTCGCGGACGGCCGACTCGACCCTCGATCACTTTTTCGACCCTGCAAAATAAAATTCAAATAATAAATTAGAATGCATGCCTACGAGAAAATAAAAAACGAAACGAAAAATTAAAGAAAAAATACGAAAAACAATAAAACTCGGGTTGCCTCCCGAGAAGCGCTAAGTTTAAAGTCTTCAGCCAGACGTTGCTTCTTTAATTTCAAGCAAAAGTGACCGAAGTCGCTTGGCAATCTTCACTCGCTTCCCAATACGGTTTGAGCCGGCTCCGTTTTACGTTGAACGTACGATTTGAATCCCGCTCCTTTATCTTGACCACCTCGTGAGGAAGAATTTCTTGGACAATAAATGGCCGCGACCACTTTGATTTGCGCTTCCTTGGAAATAACCAAAGACGGGATTTGCACAGTAACACCAATTGTCCTTTGTGCAATTCCTTTTTGATTTTCTCCTTACGACCACAATAGCTTGACGCATCCTTCTCTCGTGACTTGCTCGAGCTTTTGGGTGGCAACATCTTACTTGCACTCTCATCGCTGTTAAGACTCAAACTCGTATGACTTTCTCTCGGAGGAGTTGAAATTGAGTCCATGAAGTAAACTTGCTCCTTCCGATTTTCGTTTCCGCCATCATCTCCTGCACTCAAAGATACTTTCCCTTTGTCCAAGTGCAAAACATCAAATTTTTCATTATTTGTAAAATCCATAAGCTCAATAGCAAAACAATCATTATTATCACATGGATTTTTATTAACACTAAAAACATTGAATTTGATTGTTTGATCATGCACAGTCATTGTAAGATCACCACTAGCACAATCAATGAGAGTTTTCGACGTGGCTAAAAACGGTCTCCCTACGATAAGAGGTATCTCCCTATCCTCATCTATATCTAGTATCACGAAATCAACAGGGAAGATAAATTTATTGACTTTCACTAGCACATTCTCTAAAATACCTTTTGGGTAAACTAAAGATCTATCGGCTAATTGAAGAGTTATAGCCGTCGGTTCAATTTCTCCTAACCCAAGATTTTTAAAGGTTGAATAAGGCATAAGATTAATGCTAGCGCCTAAATCAATGAGCGATCTAAAATTTTTACCTCCTATAGTACAAGGAATAGTAAACTTACCTGGATCGCCGAGTTTTTGTGGAAGAGGCCGAGTAAGAATTGCACTAATTTGCTCTGTGAGTTGGATCATCTCGTTCCCTTGCAATTTCTTACTTTTCTTCACGAGGTCCTTGAGGAACTTCACCCACTTTGGCATCTTTTGTAGTGCTTCAATGAAAGGAATATTTATGCGAATTTCCTTCAACTTGTCCAAAAATCTTTGATATTCGGCATCGAGCTTCTTCATTATAAACTTTTGAGGATAAGGAATTGGAGGGACTTGTGAAGGCACCGTTGATGGTGGCTCTTCATGAGTTGATTCTTTTTCCTCATTTACTTTCGGCTTCTCGATTACCGTGTTTCTCTTCTCTTTCCGTGGGGCTTCCTCCAATTTCTTGCCATTCTTCAAGGTGACTGCTTGGCACGTCTCGACCTCGATTTTTTTCGTTAGCAATCTTTGTGGATATGGGATTGGCTCGAACCATTCGGCTACAGTGACTTGCGGCTTGACTTGAATTTCTTCCCTTTTTTCGATCTTGACATCGATAGCTTGGCACGTCTCGAACTTTTGCTTTCGAGGATCTTCCGTATTCGATGGCAATGCTCCTTGCGGACGGTTCTCTTGATTCAAAGCTAATTGAGCGAGTTGATTTTCCAAATTTCGCAACGAGGCTTGGGTAGCGGTCATGAATTGGGCCAATATCTCATCTGTGTTCGATTTTTGGGCCGGTGGATTGTTGCCTTGATAGCTTTGTTGAGGAGGGGCTTGATTTTGGAATTGACCTTGGGGTCTTTGATATCCTTGGCCTTGTTGATTTCCTCCATATTGCCCTTGTGATCTCCACCCTTGATTTTGGAATTGGCGAGGCGCATTGTTGACGTAGTTGAGCGACTCCACATCTTGTTGGCATTGGAGCGTGTAATGATTTCCACCGCAAATTTCACAACATGGAGAATCGATTGCTTGGACTTGTTGTGGTGGACTTGCTTTGATGTGCTGTAGAAGGAGTTGATTTTGTTGAGCAATTTGGGTCACTTGAGCTTGAAGGGCCGTAATTGCATCTAACTCCAACACTCCGGGAACTTTCTTGGCTCCACTGACCGTCCTCTCGCTTGACTTGGCAAACCTATTTTGTGCAATTTGATCCAACATGATAAATGCATCCGGTATCGATTGACTCATAAAATTACCTCCGGTGGATGCATCTAAGACGGTTCGTGCGTTCTCGTTAATCCCTTGGTAGAAGATGTGGATTTGCCGCCATTGTTCGACTCCATGTGTTGGACATTGCCTCAAAAGGGTCTTAAATCTCTCCCATGCCTCGTATAATTGCTCGCCTTGCTCTTGGACAAAATTATGAATTTCTCGTCGGATTCTCTCGTCCTTCTCGGGTGAGCTATAGACTTTCATGAAAAGGTTGAGGAGTTGAGGCCACGATGAGATAGAGTGGGGGGCTTGGGACATCAACCACTGGCGAACTCTTCCTTGTAGGGAGTGCTTGAAGAGAATTAATTGAAGCGCCTCTTGGGAAACGCCGTTTTGACGGTGAGAATTACAGGTATCTAGAAAATTTACAATGTGAAGATGGGGATCTTCACCTGCCAACCCACTAAATAGCCCGTTATTTTGGAGCATCGTCAAAAGGCCTTGTTTGATCTCAAAATTATGCGCCTCAATGGGTGGATATTGGATGCTCGGGCGGAATCCGTCTAGCGTTGGGATTATGTAGTCTTGAAGTGCCCGTGGACGAACTGCTGGCTGTGCTGGAAGTTGAAGGGGAGGGTCTTGGACATGGTTTCCATTGGCCTCGAGTAAATTGCCCGGGGCCCTGCGTTCTTCGTCCTCCATTATATTATTTGCGCGTTGTCGTCTCCTAGCGGCTCGAAAAGTTCGTTCGATTTCGGGATCAAACGATTCTCTAGCTGGATCGAGTCCTCTGCGCATACACAGTACCTAAAAAGAAAAATAAAATAAAACAAAAATTAAATGGGTGAATCGTGAAAATTGTTCAAATCTAGAGCTAGAATAAAATAAATAATTAAAATATTCCCCGGCAACGGCGCCAAAAACTTGTTGGGCGAAAACCTACACGCAAGTGCACGTATCGTACAAGTAATATAGTGGACAAAAAGTCCGGATATCGAACCCACAGGGAATATTTAATTATCTAATCCTAGACGCTAAATTCTACCAATTATTATCAAGCCCACCCTACACAGTCGACTTTAGAGAGAATTAACTAGATTAAATTAAAAAGCAAATTAAAACGACAAAGCAAGAAAGCAAATTAAACATGAAGATTTATCAGAGTAAACAAGCCTAGGATTTTATTCTTCCCCCTATGTGATTATTACTCCCCCAATTCCTTCAATTATGCAAGCAATTAACCCGGATTATTAACCTGAGATGCTAAAATAATCATAACCCGCTTCCGCGTGTATTACGATTCTAATTCTCTAGATTCAATTACTATATTCCTATGCAATTAATTCTAGAACACAGCATTAAGCACAAATCTCAATAATGGCTACCTAAGAGATTAACTATATTCCTATGTTAATACCACAAAGGCTCTTCTACCACAGTTCTAATTATTAACCCGATCTTCCGATTCATGCGATTAACAATAACATAAAAGCACATAAGTTGATCAAGTTCATGCACTTAATAAAACAAGTAGAAGAAATAATCCGGAATTAAAACTTGCATAAAATCATAGAATTGGGTTCATAAATCCCACATAGGGTTCCAAATAAAATCCTAGAAATAAGTAGTTTAGCTACTCATAATTAAATCAAAAACGCAAATAAAATAAATCATAGACGATAAATCTTTGCTTGGAGTCTTCGAATTCTTCGTCTTCGTTATTGGTTTGTTGCTCTTGAAATTGCGTAAAAAAAAATCCCTAATTGTGTGCTTGGAATGGTCTTATATAGGGTGAAGAACTTGGGGAAGAAGGCAGTTTCCTTGTGCGATTAAAATCCCTTTACTGCGCAACTTCGGGTTATGGGACGGGGGTCCCATAATTTGCACTAAAACTGGGACGGGGTCCGAGCCTTGTTTCTTCAGAATTTTGATATTTTCACTTTTGACCCATATTTTCGCCAAAATTACAGTTTTGACCCCATACTTTTCCAATTCTTCAATTTGTACCTAAAATACAATAAATCAACTTTTTAAGCACCAATTATCATTAAAACACACCAAAAGCTCAAATAAAAAGATACGATAAAGTGTAAAAATACACACTTAACACCCACGTCCCTTGTTGCCGCATCTCTACTGCTGTCTTTGAGCCGCTTCGCCGAAGAACTGATCAGATTGCCAAAAATAAGAGTAATGAGCGGATGAGAAATCTCATTGTCGTCATTCTTTTCAATTCTTTCAGGTCTCCTTCCTTGAGCAATATTTTATCTGTCTCGGGATTCACTTGAGCTAAAATATCCTCAAGGATCGTTTTTAAGTGATACTTTTTCCCTATGGTGACAAACACATGGCCGTCCAAATGACTCGTAATTAATGGATCTTCAAAAAGTTCGACAGCAAGAGTAATCTTACCAATCCCCGCCATTCCAACAAGATACACGGCCATGAGTTGACAAGTTTCCATTGTATCAAAAAGCCGTGTTTTGATTTCTTCAAATTGATCGGATAATCCAACCATCTTCGACTTCTTCCGCCCAAAACAAATTCTTGATGAAACGGCATCATGATCTTCAATTTCGGTAGCGTACTCCCCCTCCATCTTCTCGAGCTTTTTGTTCAAGGAATCAATCTCGTTCTTCACCTCCACCATGTCTAGGGAGAGTACTAGTAGCAATGGATGGATTTCTCCAGATTGAGAAAGGAACTGATTTGAGACACGGGATTCTATTACGTCTTCTAGTTTCCGTACGACCTCTCTGATTTCTCCATCCAATGCATTCACCCTCTCGCTGCTGATTCTGCTGCTATTATCAAATCGCTTGAGGACTTCTTGTAAGGACAAAAGCTGTTTGTATGAAGATTTTAGGATTTTCTTTGAGGGCGGAACAAAAGAAATTTCGGAAGATTTTAGAAGGCGCTCGATTACGGATTTTAGAGAGATCAAAGCAGCATAAGCCATTTCTATGATCTCTCTCTTTAATTTCTTTCTCACACAAATTTCACAAAGAGATCGGATTTCTGAATTGATTGATTTTGCAGTAATGTAGTAAGTCAACCATATATGTAGAATGGTATTTTATTTGAATCTTCAAGTACTTGTTGCCCAAGAAAGTGTTGGCCATTATTGGACAACTAAATCATGAATAATTCTCCATCTGACAATTTTTTTATGGGTCTTTACAAATAAGCACATCAATCAATGGTTACTTATTTGTAAAGAGATCAAGACAAAAAACTCATTTATCAATAAGTCCACACATGGTTCAAATTTTTATAAAGAACTTAAATAACCCCTCATACTTTAATATGCTCCAATTTCATCCTTACCTTTATTTAACCTCAATTTGACCCCAAATTTAACAAATTATTCAATTTTGACCCAAAACATTTTTTTTTCAATTTTTTTTTTTTTTCAAAAACTTTTTTTTTTCCGCCGGATTTCGGCGTTGACCGGCGGTCAACGCCGGTATTCGGCGTTGACTTTTAATTTTTTTTTTCCTTTCGGATTTTTTCGCCGGTTTCCGGCGTTGACTTTTTCGATTTTTTTTCTTTTTTCTTCTTTTTCTTTCTTTCTGTAACCTTTTTTTTCCGTTTAAACAGCAATATTGCTGTGATTGACAGTAATATTAACTATATTGTTGTTAAACACAGTAAAATTAAACTAAATTACTGTTTAACACAGTAATATTACTATATTAATCTCTAGCACAGTAATATTAACACAACAAAACTTATTATTATTGTGCAATAGAGTAATATTACTATGTTGACCGTTCAACAAATGTAAACATAATAAAAAACCAAAAGAATTAATATTACTGTGAGCACTGGCGGAGCTTCTAAGGGGCAGGGGGGGGCTGTTGCCCCCCAAGAAAAAAAAAAAATTTTTTTTAGCTATTTTGACCTAATATTTTTTGAATATTACTTTTGACCCCCCCAAAGATTTTGTAAATATGTTTCTTAACCCTTACTTTTTTGTTTATTCTCCATAATTTTATATAAATTATAGATATATATTATATTATAGATATGTGTCGTAATTTTTTTCGCAGTATAAACCTATTTTTTCAATGTCTTGTGAACCTAAATTTTTTTTCGGGGCGCTGCCCCGAACCCCGAAATTTTAGTTAGCCCCCCCTACTCTCTAATCCTGGTTCCGCCCCTGACTGTGAGTGACAGTAATATTACTATAACAACATAATATTACCGTCAACCACAGTAATATTACAATAATAGACAGTAATATTATTACGTTACTCCATGAATAACACAAACAAAAAATCCAAACAACATAATAATATTGATGTGGTTGACAGCAATATTACTATAACAACAATAATATTACCGTCAACCACAGTAATATTATTGTGTTTACAGTAATATTACAATAATAGACAGTAATATTATTATGTTACTCCGTGAATAACTTAAACAAAACAAAAAACCCAAAAAAATAATAATATTGATGTTGTTGACAGTAATATTATTGTGTTTACAATTATTTTACTGTCAACGACACCAATATAATTACGTTGACTTGTCAACAAATCAAACAAAATAAAAAAAGTAACACAAAATAAAAAATAATTCTCCATCTTATAATTCTTTTATCACATAAAAATTATGACCGATTATCATATATCAGCTAGAGTTCCTTCTTTAATCTTCTATTTCAATATTATTTTATTTTACTTCATTTTATGTTATAATGCGCAGAACATGAATTACAACTAAACTGTAACCCAAACTGTAAGCCAAACTGATAATATGATCACATACAATATAAAAGATCAAATTAAAATGGGGCCGTTTGAGATAACTCTCTTGTGCTTTTTTTCTTTTAATAGGGATAAATACCACTCACTATTTTCATAACTAAGAAGGTGGGCCTGCGTTGCACATCTCTGCTTGATGTTAGTTATTTTATATATTCTTTTGTGGTGCTTGATTTATTTGTTGAAATTATATGTATAGATATTTTATGATGATAATTTGTCCATTTAAATTGAACAACTTCATTTGACGTTAAAATCTAAAAGTTTGATATATTTTACCATTATATTTTAAGGATAATAGAATTTTGTCACTCGAACTTTGCCCGTTTTTCCACTTTACCACCTTAACTAAAAAAATTTGCACGCACACACCCAAATGCATTATTTTAACTCACTTAACCACCTAGAAGGAATATTTTGGCGAATCTTCACAATTCCAGTGCGAGTGAATTACACATGCGAAAGTTCATGGCCTTTTCGTCATTTTCTTTTATGGTCTGAATTTCCCTCGATCAGTTAACCGCGCATAGACTTTTGCTCTGGATTTCCCCATTGATTTTCCAACAGATACACACGAAACCCTTTCTCAGATTATTACATATTTCAGAATAGAAAAAATCATGGTTTGATTATTCTTCTTCCCTATTCAGACTTATCAGTTATCAGTCATCTTTGATTATATAAAAAAATAGATTTTTCACAACTGAGTTTAGAGAAAAAAGAATTAAATTTTCTAGAAAATTATTCCTTGGAGTTAAAATTCAGTTCTTGATTTCGAAGTATTAAATTCTGCCAACACCCAGTGGCTCTTCTGAATAAATGGACGAATTATTTTAGGGGCACACATTCTGTCTACCCCAGGAAGAAGACGCCGTCATTACTGCCAAAATCCTAGCCGTCGTCGTCAAAATAACCGAGCACTGTAAAACGCCCATATGAACATATCCAGAGCTCCAGAATATACGAAACTATGATCAAAAGAAAGATCTCTACTAGGAGAATCCAATAGTGGGTAACCCGTCAAATTGCAATAGCTAGAGAGAAAGTTATGACTCTGAGAAATACCATTGTCGGCCAAAAGAATTGACGTCGTCGAAATAGACACACGGTAAAACAACCACATGAACGGATCAAGATCCCAAAACTTATACCATCAAAAGAAAGAGTTCAACGAGAGGAATCCAATAGTAGTTAAGCCATCGAATTCCGACCACCAAAGAGAAAGTTATGACTATGAGAAATACCATTGTTGGCTGGAAAACTATAAGATGGAAATTCGGATCTGAGAGAAAAATGAAATGCAAAGAGACGATTGTGGTTGGTTAGAGTTTAAATCTGACTCTAAAGGGTCTTAGCTACTTCATGTGACCCACGAATAATGTCAATTTAAAAAAAATAAAAAATTAGGCAGTATCTATCACCAACGTTATAATCTCCTTAGACCTTGTTTAGTTGCCAAGATAAGATTAACAAAGATAAATTAAATAATATAATGAAACCCAATTGTATTATTGGACCTTTGGAGATTCAATTAAAAAATCTCCCTAAAAAAAGCAAGATAAGGCATTATAATATAATATTTTCAGGTCCACCTGACAAGTTATTGGGATACCAAACATCAAACAAAGTCCCACTATTTAATTAATTATGATTAATCTCCCCGACCAAACGTTGCGTTAATAGTTACTTCTATATTTTTCCCAATTAGGGGCCTCCGTAATAATCCCTATTTCTTATATGCCTCGACGCATCATATTGGACACGTGGTTTGATTAGTCAATAAAACAAAACTTGGTCAACATGTGAACACACACTAAATTTTCTTTAACAAGTAAATATGAGCACTCGTTGTTTTACACGTTTGGGTCTTCTTCTTATTATACTAATATTGCTTTGTCGATAAAGGTGACGTCATTGGTTAGTTTGAACATTGATCAAGGGTAGCAGCAATCATGCATCGGTATTATTATCAGTTGAAACTTTTTTCTTTTTGAAATTTCTCAACTTTATATATATATATATATATATATATATATATATATATATATTGTCACCAACCTTCAGTCCTTTAAACTATAGTAATATAAAGATACAAAAATTATATTTTCAAATTATGATATATCTTTTATTTCTTGCATAGGTTTCCAGATTGAAGGTTATCAGGAAAGATATTTTAAAAGTTGCTCTCATTTATCGTTGTTTATTTGGTTTGAATAAAGAGCGATTAAATTTGGACGGATAATTATTTTTTCCCTTCGTCTAAGAATAATATGTAAAATAAGGTGAAGTATTTAATTTACAATGATTTAAAATTATTCCGAAAAGGTTACCGAAGAGGATTGAGTTTTCCGATAGCAAAATTCAAGATCTTTACATTGAATAGATTCATATTATATTATATATATGTATATTTTTTTGGTTCTGATTATTTAATTTTTGTATATTTGAATTCGACAGCTTGAGAATGATTATTCATGGTTACCATTTGTTAGAATCTAGTTAGATTCTACTTAAGAGAAACCATGGAGAATTCTAAGAAATTGGGATTCCTTAATACCATGTGACTTGGAAAGAAGGTTGTTCTTCTTTGACAATACACACAGCCGTGTATCATGATTAAAGGGAAGAATATATTTATTTTCCAAATTTTGGTTTGCTAAATTGTCATTAATTGATTTATTTATTTATTTCATAAATTAGCTATTTTGGTTTATACAGAATTTGTATTTCAATATAATACAAATTCTTTTGGAAATTAGTGCTTGACTAGGACTTAATATCTTTTGATAAGATTTATTCCTAATAAACCTGATACGTATTTTGATGTTGGTCTTTTGTAGGATTCTTTATCAGGCTTATAAAAGAGAAGGAAAGACACATTACTATGTGTGCCTTTATTTTGAGAGAAAAAGATTTCTCTTTTCTTTGCTGCTCCCGGAACGTCTTTGATCGAGAGAAGTTTTTCACAGAAAATATTTTTCCTCTCGTTTTTTATTGTTCCATCGTGATACGTGATTTTCATAGAAAATATATCGGCTTCAAGGCTTTGTGGTGAAGACACCAAGATTCAAGAAGTATCACAAGTTTGCTTCTTCTATATAAAAAGAAGATCGGTTCTTCGGGAGAGGGGCTTAAACAGATCTCGGGAGGAGATCGATCCGCCGACTGAGGGATTCAGCGTTGA